TTTGTTTTTTAGTTTTTTTTCAAGACAGGGTTTCTCTATAGCTTTGGAACCTGTCCTGGAACTAACTCTTGTAGACCAGGCTGGCCTCGAACTCACAGAGATCCGCCTGCCTCTGCCTCCCGAGTGCTGGGATTACAGGCGTGCGCCACCACTGCCCGGCTCAAACTAATTTTTTTTTTAAAGATTCTTCCCAATGTGGCCTAACCAGAGAGCATTTCCTCAATGCCCTGCCACCTCTCCTGCCCTATATCCCATTTTCCTGAAGCCAGAACTTCCGTATGTGACACAAATAATACCTGAGCCCAGAAGGCTCAATTAGACAGCCGGGGAAGCCACAATGAGCACATCGGCCTGAAGCATGGCTTCTCATTGTGCATGGATGTAATCCACAAGGACGAGAGCAGTTTCTTGGAGTCCCCAAAGACATTAAACTATACCCTTCTAAATATGAAATAAAAATGACTCCAAACCAAATCCTGTTTTGTTTTGTAGCTAGCCACTTCATGACCAATCCTGAGCCACAAGCCATGAAAAACAGCTGACAAAAGCTGGGCGTGGTCACATGTGCCTTTAATCCCAGCACTCCTCTCTGAGACAGAGGCAGGCAGATTCCTGTGAGTTTAAAGTCAGCCTGGTCTGACTGAGTGAGTTCCAGGACAGCTAAGACTATATAAAGAAACCCTGTCTCGAGGGGAGAAAAAAAGCTGCCACACTGACCTTGATCACAGAGAGGCCCAGGGTACTCCCTACTCCCTCTGCTTTCATGCATGGCTCCTCCACTTGTCATCTCAGCAAGCATCACCCCTTCAGGGGCCCTCCCCTATGCATCCTGCCTCATTGTACCAGTCACTTTCTGTTTTGTTTTTCCAGACACAGTTTCTCTGTGTAGCCCTGGCTGTCCTAGAACTCACTCTGTAGACCAGCCTGGCCTTAAACTCACAGGGCCTACCTCTACCTTCCAAGTGCTGAAATTAAAAGCATGCGCCACCACTGCCTGGATTACCAGTCACTCTAGAACATGTCACAGGAGCTGAAGGCCAGCAGCTGGTAGGTACATTTACCCACATCTCTCCAGGCTCTGTGAGGACAGGACCTGGCAGTGTTGAACCGGACCCAGCATCTACAAAGCACCCAATGTGGCCATTCAATCAGTGAGTGACAGGACAAAGGTTTAATGCTGGCAGGAGCACCACAATGACTGTGAACCACGGGAAGTCACAGTCTCTAGAATACGACAATATACTTACTTGTCCAACCTTGGAGAGCTTGAGTTCTCTTAAGGTGTAGTCATGAGCGGCACTTTCTTTGACATTTCTAACACGCATGACCCCATATTCTTTGAGTGCATACTCATCAGGCCAGTACTTGACACATTTGCTCTGGAAGGGACCAGAGGAAAAGAGGTTAATGTCCAAACCCCAAATGAAAGTCCAAACCAGCAGAAAACAAGTGTCCCCGTCCTGCTCATGACATCAACAAAGAAAGGAGCCTACCACCTTCCCTTAGGTTACCAAGAAAAGAAAGGAATAATTCAAATAAGCAAAGCAGGTGAAAAGGGAAAAGAGGAGATATGGTAGATCAGCCTGGTCCCCACCCTATCCCCACCCCAACGCCCACCTGCCAAAGCAGAGTCAACACCTGCCCAGTCAGCTCTGAGAATGACAGAAGCAAAGAGTGTAGAGAGCTGCGTGGAGCTGCACCTGATGGTGCTGGCTTCCGCCCTCCGCGATCCCGAAAGCGAGTGCTCTCTGTGATAATCAACTCCTAATATGGCTAAGGCCTGACTCATGCTATTATCACGCAATGATCGTCAGCTGTTTGCATATGCAAGAACCTATGGGCGGTGCCCACGTGGCAATCCGGGGTTGGTGGCCCGTGCCTTTTTAAAGGTTGGGAGCGGTTTGCCCGGGGGGAGAGAGAGAAAGATTGCTGTGAACAAGGTCCTGAATAAACTGCTTGCAAGAAGAGCTCCGGTGTTGCGTCTTCCTTGCTGGTCCAGGTGGGCGCAACAAAAAGAGGAGTGACCAGCCAATCCAAGACTGTCCCTAGCAAGCAGAATTTCTAATCCCAACACTCCACCAGTCATTCTGAGGGGAAAGCAAGGAAGGAATCTGGGAATGAGAAGGATGCTAACACTGTCCCATCATTGCTTTCTCTATATTCAGATTTCTACCGACCCCACACACACACCAGCTTCCCAGACCTGAAGAACAGGTGGGACACACACACTCTACTACTAGTTCCTGTCACGAGCCATTTCTCCCCTAAAAATCATTACAGGAACCATCACCCTGGGGAGTCTGCAGGGAACCCCACACCCATAATTATGTTCTATTGACAGAACCTGCCCCACACCCAATTAACTGTTATCTGTTAGCGGAACGCGCCTCACATTCCAGCTATCCAGGGAACCAGGTGTGGCAACTCGTGACTTCTTGGCCCACCTGAACGAATGTAACCTGGCCTACGTGACCGGGACCACACGGCGAGATCCCGTGCCCTGCCCACCAAGCCCTCATCCAGGGGCTATATAAACAGCAACCATGATCCTAATAAAGGGGGCTTTGACAAATCTGCTTGGCCTCATTCTTCTGTCCTAGCTCATTCCCTTCCAGGTAGCGTCCCTTTGAGACCCTGGAATAACTGATTGCAGGATGGGTTACAAACCCCTAAGACTGAGTAACCCACCCAACGCAATCGACAAGTTCCAGCACTTGGGAGGCAGAAGCAGGTGGGTCTCTGTGAACTCAGGGCCAACTTGCTCTACATAGCAAGTTCCAGGCCAACCAGTGTTGCATAGTGGGACCCTGAACCGATGGACTGAAAGTTGAGTGTGCACACTTGTAGTTCCAGAGACAGAGATAGGAGAATTACTTCACTTTTAAGACCAGCCTGGTCAGCTAGGCAGTGAGGGTGCACGCTTTTAATCCCAGCACTTGCGAGACAGAGACAGGTGGATCTCTATGAGTTTGAGGTCACCCTGGTCTAAAAAGTGAGTTCTAGGACAGCCAGGACTACATGAAGAAACCCTGTCTGGTCTCCATAGTAAATACCAGGCCAGTAAGAACTATAGAGCAAAACACAGTCTCAAAACAACCAAAAAGACAAGAACAACAAAAAACACCAGGCAGTGGAGAAAGATAGTAACAATGATGTAAAGAAAAGAGGTCTTGTCCATCTGAGGGATGAACTTGTATCTACCAGGTGACGAGTCTGAAGCAAAGCGTGTTGTTTCTCTTTTTCAGGAAGTAGTCACCTACAACACTCACTTTCTAAAACCAACAATGCCAGCATCAGCAAAAGAAATCTGCACCCAGGACTAGAAATACAGAGCAGCTTACAGGTGACAAGAAACAAGAGCACAGTTACCTACAGAGCTCAGTGATTAACCCAGAGAGGACACCCAAGGAAGGAGGAGAGGCTGTGTTTGACAGATCTGATAGAATTCTATCATCCTCAATGTATAGTGCTGTTTTCTGGACAATCAATTCAGAGGATTGCTCTGGGCACTACAGAGACCTCAACAGAGAATACAAGAAGGTGAGGGCTAGGCCACAGTACCAGGCCCATTTCCACCCAATCTGTCTACTCTGAAATTTCCAACTGTACTTCCAATAGTGGTTGACCCAATTCTTCAACTACAGGCCCAACGTGACATCTTACAGAGCATCGAGCAGTAAGTGGAACTGGGAGGACTTGTAACTGCCCAGGAACTCAGGACACCTGACATCACTGCTGAAGGCATGCAGAAGCGCACCAACCAGAACCCTGCACAACCACTTGCCCCTCAGTTGCCAGGCTCAACTCCCAATCTGTCTCAGGTTAGCTTCTACACGTGACTATAAAATTGCACTCAATCTTTTTATAAACCACTAAAGAATATCCAAACAAAAACTCTGGCTAGAACACAAATAAAAACCAAGATGCTTCCATATTAAAAACCTATAAATGGATTTCACTTTGAGATGATGGAAAAAGAACACAGACTTTCAAGATGTTTGCTTTCCTGGAGGTGTGACACATTGACTTCCAGGAACCCACAGCACCCTAAGAGTGTGGGGAGCTCAGCTCAAGACTATGAGGTTTGGGGGGGAAGGGGGCAGGGTTTGACAGTTCTAGAGGGTGGCTAGGTGGCTGATCCAAAGTAACACATACACATAGACACCCAACAATTCTTGACATTTAATCCAGAGAAACATAGGCCACAGTCTGCATAGAAATGAAGGGAAAAACAAGACTGTTCAGCTGAATAAAACCACCCTACAGCAGCTAGAGGACTGGTTCGCCCATAGTACAAAACACAAGGCTACAGGCAATGTGTACTAACAGTGTGCTAATATTGAAAGACGCTTCCAAACAGGCACCACCAAGAAGCAAAATGGAGTTACTGCAGGAAAGTACAGCTAGGGGTGGGACCCAGTGCAGAAGAACCATACAACCGATACTTTAAGAACATTTTTCAGAGCTGGGCGATGGTGGCGCACGCCTTTAATCCCAGCACTTGGGAGGCAGAGGCAGGCGGATCTCTGTGAGTTCGAGACCACCCTGGTCTACAGAGCTAGTTCCAGGACAGGCTCCAAAGCCACAGAGAAACCCTGTCTCGAAAAAAAAAACAAAAAAAAAAAGAACATTTTTCAGGTTTCAGGTGCTTGAGACAGAGTGCGTACCTTCCCTCTCTCCACCTCCTTTGTGGTCATGACGATGACGCGAGAGTTCTCCTGGAACACCATCCTCCAGAAATCATTCACTGTGTTCTGCAGGCAGCCTTGAGTAGCAATGTAGCTCTTCTTGGGTTTTGAATTGTTACACTTGGTTTCAAATTCAGGCTAGAAATTAAGAAAAGTCTTCAAACCTTTGAAAGGTGGTGTCACAGGTATAAAGACACTAGCAACATAAGACCAGAAAACACAGTGAAAGCTTACCATGATGATATTCGCATTGATGTAATCAGAAACAGGCTCATTAGGATCCCCATCATGCAGGACAACCCTAGTGTGATCAACTGAGGAGAAAGATGACAGTCAGTCAGTCCTCAGAGCTTCAGCACAAGCCGGGCAGCCTTAAGCCAAGCCAATCTAACAGTGAGTACTTCACAAGATCAACCAAAACGTGACAAGGCATAGCACAGCGCTTTCTCAGAACTCCCTGTCTGGTGATGCTGTGGGTGCAGGAGTCAGCAAGGGGAGGGAGGCAAGGACTGTGTACTGAGCACCTTCTAAGTCATTTTTGTAACTTCCCATGAGTAAAAGGTTAAGGTGCCTGTTGGTTTTCTTCCTGTTTGGGTTTGGTGGTAAAGGTGGGGATTGAACCCAGGACCCGGAACATGCCAACCAAACACTGTGCACTGAGCTATATCTCCAAATGGTTTTTGTTTTTAAAAAGATTAAAATACCAACAATGACGTCTAAGCTCTTCAAAATCATCCAGGGAAAGAGAAGTGGATCAGAGAACAAACAAAACAAGACTGCACACAAGCCGGCTGCTGCTGAAGCTGGGCTACAGCTACACTCAGCTTCTATTTGTTAACATATTCCAAATCCCCCATAGTAAAAAGTTTCTTAAAGAGGCAGAGGAATATATAGAACCCATAGAACAGAATTTATAAAGTATCAGTTGTCCTTATCTATACCAAAATACATTACTGGTATAAAAATCTGAGTGCTCTATCGAAAACAACATATTGGGGCTGGAGAGATGGCTCAGAGGTTAAGAGCATTGCCTGCTCTTCCAAAGGTCCTGAGTTCAGTTCCCAGCAACCACATGGTGGCTCACAACCATCTGCAATGGGGTCTGGTGCCCTCTTCTGGACTGCAGGCATACACACAGACAGAATGTTGTATAAATGATAAATAAATATTAAAAAAAAAAACATATTTTACAATGGGAATTTGCAACAGTGCTCATAGGATGGCGCAGGCCCAGAATCCCAGTTACTCAGAAGGATGAAACAGGGGAACCAGACGTTCAAGGCCTGGACAATTTAGGGAAACTGTCACAAAATTAAATAAGTTCAAGGCCTAGACAACTTAGGGAAACTGTCGCAAAATAAAAGAAGTTCAAGGCTGGGCAGCTTAAGGAAACTGTCACAAAACAAAAATGTTAAGGGCTGGTGTAGCAAGGCCCTGGGCTCAATTACATACATTAAAAAAAAGGCTCAGTGGAAACGTCTGATGGGCTCATTACCACAGCAGTAGGTAGGTCATCTGAGACACTGTGAGCAGCTGCTCCCTTCAGCTTTCCTACAGCTGCACTTTACAGTGAGAACCAGCAGAGTTCAGAGAGGAGAAAACTTAAGAAATAAAAAGAATGAGGCTCGCCAGGCTGTGGTAGTGCACACCTTTAATCCTACCACTTGGAAGACAGAAACAGGCAGATTTCTGTGAGTTTGAGACCAGCCTCGTCTGCAGAGCAAGTTTCAGGAGAGCTAAGACTACACAGAGAAACCCTGTCTCTAAAAACAAAACTTTTTAAAATTTATTTTAGCTGGGTGGTAGTGGTATACACCTTTAATCCCAGCAGTTGAGAGGCAGAGGCAGGCAATTCTCTCTGAGTTCCAGGACAACTGGGGCTATACACCCTGTCTTTAAAAAAAAAAAAAAAAATAACCAAAGAGGCTCCCCAAGACTGCCAGGACCCCTTTCTCGACAGCTAGCTATACACACTTCTCTGCAAACTCCTGTTTACTTTTCTCATGAGAGCAATGACTCCCTGTCGTCCACTCCCCTGCCCCCATCTTCTCCGGCACCACATCCTCACCTACAGATAGACAACCATGTGGAACACACACACACAGAGGAATAAATGCACCAAGAGGGCTGGAGATATAGCACAGTAGCAGAATGCTCACCTTGAGTGTGGAAGACCTGGAGTTCAATCCCCAGCACTCCAAAGCACCCTGTTCTGTGCCCACACTAGTCACAGCTGAGGTCACACCAGGATGTGCAACAGCAGAGCCACCTCCATGGAGAGATGAGCTCCAACTTGTGTAAAGATGGGGTTCTCACTGGTGCAGGCTACAGGGAGGCCCAACTTTGTGGCACTCACAAGGTACCTTATCTGTAGAAGCTGAGCCAGCAGAAGGTGATAAGCCCAGTAGGTTCTCCTTTCTCCAAATGAGAAACCGAGGCCCAGAGGAAGGTGTACCTACCCCTATCTGACAGACAAGTCACGTGGAGCAGAGACAGCTCTCAGATCTGAGACCCATTCCTTAGTCTAACACTGAGTCACCAAGAGCCTTGGGGTTGTTACATGTAAGTAGAACAGGAATAAAGGAGGAAGAGATGGCCACAGAGGGCCTCCTACTATACAGCTTTACTGGTACTATGAGGACATCCATCCCCATTATGGCTGGTTATCTATTAGCTAGCACGTGACCCCAGGTACTGTGACTGCTACTGAGGCAGGTGGTTGATACTCACAGGGCAGGATGTTTTTGTATCTATTTTTGTTTTTATTTTCTTGTCTCTGTCCTTCTTTTCGGCTGTAGAGAAGTTTGCATTCCTGTTGTTGTAGCGTCTAGAAGCACAGAAAAGTAAATATGTATCAAATATATCCAAAAGACAGAGCTGAGATGGCTCAGTGGGTAAGGGCACTTGTATACATCTGAAGACCTGTGTTCAGTTCCTGGGAACCACATGTCCAAAAACAAGAACTTCTGAAACGTGTCCTCTGACCTCCACACATGGTATGGCATGGGACATCCATGCACATGCACAAAAGTAAATCAATAATTGTGAAAAATAAACATGGATATAAAAAGTACTCCCTTAAAAAAGTAAAAAAATTGAAGAAAAGGGGAAGCGAGGAGAGAGAAGAAAAGGAAGCGGGAAGGGGAAAAGGAAAGGGGGAGGGAAGAGGGAAAGGAAGAAAAGAAAAGCAAGTCAGCCTGGCCTGTGTTCTGCTTTAAGGGTTCACCCTGTAGAATGTAAGTCAGGCCCATGGAAACAACAACACCCATCCCCACAGCATGACCTGACAGAAGCACTCACAGCGAACTATGCCAGCAAGAGAAGGCTTCCTAAGTCATCATGAGCCACCCAGATACAATGTCCTATCATCCAGTGTTCAAGAGGGAGGATCCAGGGGTGAAGCCAGCCTGGACCACAGCACAACCTTGGGAAGGAATGAGGGAACAACAAAACTCTACTACCCAGTCACACAGAAGAACTTGGTCGCTCTACGGCTCTACAGAGTCAGTCTAGGGACTATTTACCACCTGGGAAGACGGTCACAGTGGGTCAGACTCTCACAGAGTAGGATGTGAGCCACATGCTTACATTTGCCTGGGCAGCAGCACACACACCAAGGAAGGAGCAGGGAAGCGGAATTCAGAAATTCTTGTCCTTTTGTTTGGTTGTTTGCTTGGCTGACTGATTTGATATGTTTCCTTTGCTGTTTTGCCCCTAAACTTTCTCCAATATGTGTAGCATAAAGGCCTTTTGAGTCACAGAAGGCTGCACTAGGAGAGCTGGAATGGGATATGTAAGCAGCACATGAGCCATGCACTTCAGGAGTTTAGGATCGGCTCAGTCACGACAAGCCCCCATGGCAGTCTTAGAATGTGGACACTGGAAGAGGCAGAAGCAGCTTGGTGCCACTGGAGGAAGGCAACTGTTAGTACAGCTTCAGGGTCCTCTTGTGTCAAACCCAAGTCAGCATCTCAATGACAGCTGTGTCCAGAAGCCTGTTGCCCTCATTTCCCCTGGGAAACCTGGACAAGATGCAGGGAGTCAGGCCTAGAAGGACAGGGCAGGGAGTAAGGATGGGCTCCAGAAGAAAGTGCCGGACAGTTCTATGGGGGCAAAGAATTGGGGACACCATTAAAGAAAGAGATAAATCAGGCAGCCATAGTTTAACTAACCCAGTCAGAAGTGGGAAGGTAGCAAGGACAGTCCAGAGAAGGACAGGGCAGGCTGAGGCACAGTCAGGAGTAGGTTTCATTTTCAGAATGACAAACAAGTTCTCTTCATTATCTCTCAGCATGCCTAGCTTGTGGATTCTGTGATGCTAAGGATGGAGTCCAGGGTCTCTGGCGTATGCTAGGTCAGTGGTTCACCACTGAGACCAGAAACAGACAAATAAAGAAAGTGAAAGGCAGCTAAAGACAAAAAGGTTTCTTTCCTCTATGCAATTCCAAAGCAGCTACCTGGGAAGATCTCTGTCAGGAGTAACAAAAGTCTTTAGCTAGGACCCGAACAGAAAGAAAACAAGGTGTGCAGAACTTGGACATAGCAATGCTTATTCAAGTTTTTCTTAATGAGCTCCGATCAAGTAACTAAAGCCATTTGCCTTCTGGGAGCTGATGTTCCCTGACCTCGAACTGGCCCACGAAGGCATCTCTAGACCTTGATGTTTAGGTGCGTCATAGGGATGATGTTCAAAAAGAAGTTCAAGTATTGAGAGATCCATCACTTCAACAGCAGTAGAGTGAGGAACTACAGGACCTGCAGCTTTGCTTAAACTTAGCAGAACTTTGACCATCACCTATGGGCCAAACCTCACATGACATTTACTCGTAAGTACAGGTGCCAGGGAATATTTGTAAAAGATGGGGCCCTGTGCCCCCCTGGTTCATCTTAGCTACTGCAATTGGGGTGCCAGAGTAAACTCCAGAGTTCAGGTCAGGGCACCTTCATCAACACAATTCCATGCATTTGCTGGACTGCCCATTAGGAGCTCTGCCTCTTGCACATGCTGTGGATGTCATGATGGGCTGTGAGCCCTGGAGGCCTCCAGAGAGGTAAAACTGCGTCCAGGCAGTGGGACTGCTAGCAGATAGCAACCTTCAGAGATGGCAAATGGATAATAATGCCTACCTCAGCTTGTTCTCTATTGCTCTACCTCTACCACCTCTCCCCATGCATGTCCAGGACCAAAACCATCCAGACCTTTTCATTCCTACAGTGAGGGCTGCTAGCTGTCCAACCAATAAGAACTCAGAAGTTAGGATTGTCTATCCTCTGTCCCCAGCTCTACCCAAGATTAGCAGCTAGCCTCCACCAAGACCCACTTCCTTCTGGGCATCAGGTTAATGGGGTTAGGAGTCCGATTGTATCTAGTAGCCCTACCCAAAAGGAAGACAACTCCCCAAAGGTTTGTGTTCTGCAGCTCCCCACTCGCTCCCATGGACCTGCACTATCACTCAGTACCTGTGCTAAGGATAATGCAGAGGCAAACAGCAAAAAGCAAAACTGGGACACAGGTTGACAATACCCTTTTCCCAGGAATTACAACCAGACCATGAGCTGAGAAAAGAGGCAGAGGCAACTGCTAGGTCAACTGCAGAAGTTCAAACAGAGCCAGAGGTAGAGAGGCACCATTCCAGTATGCAACCCAAAAAAGCTTTATGAGGGGCTGGAGATGGCCCAGCAGCACTGGCTGCTCAACCAGAGGACCCCGGTTTGGTTCCCAGCACCTACATGGCAGCTCACAACATTCTATAATTCTAGTTTCAGGGATCCTGTTCTGACCTCAACAGGTTCTGCATACATGTGGAACATAGACATATATACAGGGGAAACACCCATACACTCAAAAAGCTCTGTGAAAGACAATGCTTCATTCATCTGTGCTGGGTCTGGGACAGCTCTCCTGAAGAAGTCACAGGGCCGTACAGAAAAGAAGGGAGCATTGGATACTCCAGCACCAGGTAAGGCAAGGGAAGGGACTGGGCAGCACATCTAGATACCGTGTACCAGGAAGTGGAAGGAAGTGAGGAGAGACAGGAGTGAGGAGCATGGCAAAGGACTAGAGGGTCAGGCAGAACAATCTCAGCCTAGAGGAAGGAAGCACAACCCAGCCAACTCAGAATGGGACATGAAACCAGAAATCCCCAAGCTTAAACCATTTACCAGCCTCATCCCTGGAGACAAGTTTCTTTTCTGAGAGTCAGATTCTTGGTCCTTCAAAATGAAAATGTCATGCTTCCAAAAGGAAACAGGGAGCCACTGAAAGTTCTTGAAAAGAAAGGTGTGAATGCTGAGACTATCATAAAGGGTGTGTACATGGGCAGAGGCAGAGGCTGGTGGAACAGAGGCAGATACCTGAGCATCAGGCTGGAATCCTGTCTCTATCCCCTGCCCACCTGAGCCATCCTGGACTGGCATATATCTCTCCAAGCAAGTGGGGATACAACTAGATGCCCACCTGGTTCAACGTTCAACAGGATGCAGATGATAAAAATGCCTTCCTTCCCAAGGAAGACAGACACACATTGAACAGGAGGACTTCCAATGTCTGGTCATGAGAGAAAGAAAAGAAAACTGCATCAAGGGGCACCAAGGATCCCGCCTTCAGCTCCAGAGTAATGCAGAACCTCCAAAGACCAAGTAAAAGAAACTGGTCTCTAGAGGAAAATGGCCTGTTTGGAAAGCATGAGTTTGCAGCAAAGACAGGCGAACAGAGTGGGAAACTCTCAAACCATGAAATCAGAGCACCAAAGCAACACAAGCTTGCAGGTGCTAGGGCTAAATGAGGCCCAGCCGCGTGCTGAGTTGGAGGCAGGAAAAGAATGCAGGAACCGTAGGACAGTCAGCAAGAAGGAATGGGGTACGCTCCTGTGGCAGAAAACCGGAAGGAATGGGGAGCCAGCAGTGGAAGGAGATGAAGAGGGAAAAGGAGAGACGCTGTCTCAAAATGAAAAGAAAGCAAGGCATGTTAGTGAATGTCTGTGAAGGCAGTACTTAGTTTGAGGTCAACAAAGGCTTTGTCCCAAATACTGAAAAAAAGGGAAAAGGTGCTGATGTACCTCACAGTTGGTAGCGTGTGCTTCAGTTGGTAGCATGTGCCTCAGTTGGTAGTAGGCTTATCCAGCACACACAAGGCCCTTGGTCCAATCCCCAGCACTGTGTAAACTGGCTACTTAGTAGGTGAAGGCAAGGAGTTCAAGGTCTCCCCAGCCTCATAATGAGTTTGAGACCAGGCCAGTCTGGGATACATGAGGCCTTGTCTCAAGTAACAAAAAATTCCATTGACCTCTTCTCAATGTGTCATCTCAGTACACGGGGGACACCAAAAAAAATAAGTAAGGTTCAAGAAGTAAAGGGCTTAAAAAATACAGAAACTGCAGCAGGGCCACTCATGACCTAAAAGGAAGCAGTATGGTCATCCATGTCAAGGAGTGACAGAAAGGAAAGAGCATATGGGCATGGATAGTCCACAGCCACAGCCAAAAAACCCTCAAAGAAAAGAATGAGAGGGAATCAGAGGAGAAGTATGGTGTCAGAAACGGGACGGCATCAGAGTAGGGACAGGGGAGCAGCACAGAGAGACCTATGGTGTAGAAAAGGGGCAGCAGAGGGAGAGCTATGGTGTAGGAACAGAGAGAGAGCTATGGTATAGGAACAGGAACAGAGGGAGAGCTATGGTGTAGGAACAGAGGGAGAGCTATGGTATAGGAACAGGAACAGAGGGAGAGCTATGGTGTAGGAACAGAGGGAGAGCTATGGTGTAGGAACAGACCGGAGAGCTATGGTGTAGGAACAGAGAGAGAGCTATGGTATAGGAACAGGAACAGAGGGAGAGCTATGGTGTAGGAATCAGACCCTGAAACTGCTCTGCCAAACAAGACGTGCTCTTTTTTCAAGCTGGGGCCTCTCGGGAAGGTTCTGGTATGCTACAAGCCTGTGACCTGGAACATTTGGAGTTTGCAGCTGGAGCCTGACTGGGGGCTGTCCTTCAATGTTGACTGCTTAGTCACCAGGGGAGTACGTCCACCAGAGATCACCAGCAAGAATTATTACTCTAGACAGAGCCCTGGGGTGCACCTAAAAGGCTTGTTTCAGTAAAACCACCTGGAGGAGAATCACAGTGCCTGTAAGCAGGACAGAATCACTGTGGAAAAATCAGAGGGGATTGCAGGTGAAGGCCCCAGGCTCCTCCCAGCCTCTGGCCAGCAAAGCTGCAGGCCAGGTGACCTCTGAAGGCAGGAGAGACTGCACTCTAGATTACTGAAATTACTAAGGAAAGGGAGTTTACTTTAATGGGAAAAGTAACTCCAGTGAAACAAATGTTCTATAATTTTGTCTGTTTGGGATTTGGGGTTTTCGTCTGTTAGATTTCTTTCCCCTTTGTCATGTGTTTCGGATTGAATAAGAAACATGGAGTTGCCGGGCGATGGTGGTGCACGCCTTTAATCCCAGCACTCGGGAGGCGGAGGCAGGCAGATCTCTGTGAGTTCGAGACCAGCCTGGTCTACAGAGATAGTGCCAGGACAGGCTCCAGCAACAGAGAAACAAAAAAAAAAAAAAAAAAAATGGAGTTTAAAAACTAAAATCTTTCTGTAACCCAGCCCTGTGAGCCTAAATCAGAATACCTAAGGCATGTATGTTCAGAAATCTCACTCTCTGCACACACCCAGGATTCCATCAGGGACTCATGAAAGCAAGATGTATACCAGTAAAGTGCACTATCTCCAAGCAGAGCCCAAACTAGGCGGTGGTGGTGCACTCAGGAGGCAGAGACAGACGGATCTCATTCGGTGAATTCGAGGCCAGCCTGGTCTACAGAATGAGTTCCAGGACAGGCTCCAAAGCTACAGAGAAACCGTCTCAAAAAAAAAAAAAAAAAAAAAAAAAAAAAAAAAAAAAAAAAAAAAAAAAAAAAAAAAAAAAAAAAAAAAAAAAAAAAAACTAAAAAACAAAAACAAACAAACAAAGCCCAGACACTGCTCTAAACCACCCACTCTAGACCTGAACACAAGACAGTGCTTGAAGAGTTCAGACTCAGTGCATCCACAAAACTTTATCTGAAGCCTACTTGAAAGTGGGAAAGTGAGAGTTCTGTCTGCTGGACTGGGTAGGGGGTCGGCTACAAGCGAGCAGGTTCTGCCCTGGGGTCCTCATTGTGTCACCATCCTAGATGGCACAAACCCTTTTGTTCCCCCAGCAGCTTCATCTGGCAAAACATTCCTTCCCCCACAGATAACTAACGTTACTGTTCCTATGGATTTGTAGTGCATTAAAACAAGAGCAACATGGATTACTCACAAATTCCTACGCACATGTTCAATAGGAAGAACTCAGCTTACACTGGGGATGGGGGATAGGGAAGGCTCCCCTGAGAAAACTCACAGAGGGGAAAGCTGAAGACTGAAGAGGTATCAAAAAACAAAACAAAAACCCTCTTAATATGTCCCAAGTAAAAGCTGGTGGCTTCACAGCCTACTCTCTCCAGCCTACCCTTCTAATAATGGCACCCTGCAGCAACTCAAGTTGTAGAATTTGGGCTCCTTTGAAACACCATCAGAGCACATGGAGAAAAGTGGGATTCTGCCAACAAAGTGTTCTAAAAAACTGAGTGTACTGAGATCATCCCCCCCATTCGAGCACCTGAGGAAGCTGGGTCCCCCCATTCGAGTATCCTCAGGAAGACAGGATGCTGCATTAATCATCCTCCAGGAAGCAATTCTGATGTGCTCACTAACAGAACAGCATCCTGCGGATGTGGCTCAAACTTTAGTCTCATGGGGACTGAAATTATGAGGGTGCACTTCCAACTCCTGCAGTGGCCTTTTGGTCCTTAGTCTTACGCCCCTGACTCCAGTCTGAAGGGGTCGCAGTTTCCTAAAGCTGAAAGAACTAGAGAGGCAGGCAGGGGTAATAAGAGATCTCATGAGCAAGCCCTCATCTACACAGACAGCTTCATCTGCAGGATTCCTCAATGCTCCAACAGTGTCCAACCCTGGCAGTACAGATGGGACTCTCATTGTTTTCCAGACCACACACACTCATTTTTGCCCAACTCATTTTTGCCCTTTTATGTTGCTATTCATGTACAAAATGTGAGCTGAATTTGATTTGTCAGAGAAGGGGACATTTACAGTGTTTTCCACGGCCACAGCAAAGGGTGAGCTGGGCAGGTGGTACATACTGGAATCCCAGCATTGGGAGGGAGGTGAGGGACTAAGAGCAAGGCAGATCCTTGACAGGCACAGAGAGGGAAAGGGGTCAAGATAGACATGGAGGATGGCAAACTCCCAGCTTCTCCCTCATCTCCTGACCTGAGATAAGGGCCTGGCATGGCAGCCCTTTTTTTTCCCCCACAGCAGGACTGGCTTCTGGCTGAAATGGTACAGGCTGTGTTTGAGGCCAAACCTGAACATGTCTACCTCAAGCTGTAGCCTATCATCTCCTCTGTCTGTAAGGTGACCAAGCCAAAACTGGGTGAGAGGGACCTGTCCTACATCACTAAAACAGAAGACCCAGGGCTGAGCACTGGGAAGATGGCTCTGCAGTTAAGACTTCTGGCCCTCTACAAGTGCAACAAGCTCTCAATAGATAAGCCATCTCCCCAGCTCCTCTTTCTCTCTTAACCTTTAGGCTGAAATTTGTATTAAGATGCCCTTTATTTTATAGTAATTAATATGCTGGAGAACATTATTTTTTTTAACTGAATAAAAAGAAATGAATGCAGTATTTGATTGGTAAGTATGGAGGTACTGGCGCTGCACTGGTGACAAAAGGCTCATCTTTATAGACATATTCAAGCTTTTTAAAAAAGAGGTAAGACGGATGGGTTACAGCTCAGTAACATGCTCTGCCGGCACAAAGTCCTGCATTTGATCCACAGGATCAATAACTAAATAAAGAATTTAAGATGACCTCATGGCTTATTCTGCTCTCATCACACTTTCACTGACACCCTCATCCCTGTTGCTTCTCTCTTCTAACAAGAAACTTCCGAATGGTGGAGACCCTGTCTGTTGTGTCTCTCCAATGTGTTTGAAGAGCCCACCCCAATGCCTAGTATGAGACCAGACCCATCACTATGGAGCAAACACCAGTAATGCTCTAGAATAGACCCACCCCTGGGGCTAGGATTATCAGCATCTGTGCTAAAGAAGGTGGGCCATCTACTAGACCTCTCTGACCTCACACTCCTCTGTGGGATGGAGCTAGCACTCCTCTCCGAAAGCTGTCTGGCACATGGTGGCACACAAAGTTGTGAATCCTCAAGTCCTATACAAAGCACAGCCTAACCACTCCTGTAAAACATAAAGTGGAGAGAGGAGAGTGGAAATGGAAGAGGGCAGGAATCAGCAAGATAGCTGTATACCAAACTATTAAAGAATAAATTAAAAATATTCTTTAAGCTGGGCATAGTGGCACACATCTTTAATCCCAGCACTCAGGAGGCAGAGGCAGGCAGATCTCTGTGAATTCAAGGCCAGCCTGGTTTACACAGTGAGTTCCAAAACAGCAAGGTCTACCCTGTTTTGGGGAAGAAAAAAAAAAAAAAAAAACATGAAATGAACTGTATGCAGGCATGAGTGACATAGGAGTGTGACTGTGGAAGGAAAGAGGCCAAAGCTCCAGATAAACGCACAAGGAGAGAAAAAAAGACCAGAGGATACATGGGTCAGCAGCCTATGAGCACACAGGTCCACAGGGCAGGCTCACATCTGAACCCCTTAACTTCCCTGTTATTAGTGTGAACCCATAGCTAAACAAACCTGAGCCCTTCTCCTGGTTTCACTAAAAGCAAGGAAGCTTCAGTTCATCTGAAACCCCTTGGATGCCAGAGGACTTCAATCCTTTGGTTTTTCTGGGGTCCTGCCAGCGGTCTGAACCAACAAATAGAGCTGCTGGCTCATCCATCTGAGACAAGCTGCCAACCCCTTTCCAGGAACACAATGCCTTTCTGCTTCAAACAAGCCCCCTGAGAGGCCTGCTCCATGCCACAGCAAAGACATTCTTCTCACCTGTTAAAAAAAGCACTTAATAACTCACATAAAACCAACCTGTCAGTGACTTACCTCAAATTCTTCCCAAAAGCCCTGTTTGACTTTATCTGTGGTCTCAGCTAGCTTGCTTAGCTCTCGAACACGGCTTTCGATTTCAGCAGCATTAATACGAGTTGTATTGAGGGGCTGTTGTGTTCAGCAGTGGTGGGAAAGGAAGAAAACATGTTTAACAGTGTTAACACAGAACGAAAAAGACTTCACAAAAGCAAAGGCAGGATGTGCATCATCCCAAATGTGTTCATGTGTGTGCCTATGCATGCCTGTGTGCACCTGTGTGCATCCATGTATTCATGCATGCATGTGAGCTGTGTTTGTTTGTGTAGTGTGTTCAGTGCTTGTGAGTGATGTGTATCTCTGTGTGTGCCGGTGCATGTGTGCATGTCTGTGTGTGGTACATGTGATGTGTGTGCACGTGGCATGACAATGACATGTGTCATGTGTGGAGATCAGGGGCAGTACTGAGGAGATGGTTTTCCCCGTCCTTGTTTAGGTGGGCTGCAGGGATAGAACTCAAAAACAACAGCACTTTACCCAAGCCACCCTGAGCCCTTGGAAATGAACCTTCACTTTCTCTTCTATTCCATCAGGAAAAGTCTCTTCATTCTCAATGAACACGTTAGGAACTCAGCCGACGCAATTTCAAATCTAGATTTCTAGATTTAATTGTTAAATCACAGCACGATTTCCAGATGGGACCACTCTCATAAAAGTGAAACAGCTGAGCTCAGGAGAGTCTGTCCTGCCCCTTGCCAGCTGCTATAGGTAGCAGCTCCCTGCACCTGGGCAAATCAGGAGAGCTGGCCCTGGTTTCAAGGGTGTAAGAGGGCTGACCAACTTAGCTCCCACCCAAACCTACATTCTGGGCTTTGAGTTGGCCCAACCCAACATGTACCCCATCCATGAACTGCTGGAGCACGTGAAGTGGCCAGTCCTACAGAACCACAGTTGCGGCATCTCCACACACAGGGCAACAACAAGCTATCCAAGAGGATTCTGGGTGAGGATCCAGTATTGATAGTGTGATAGTGTATCAGAAGCCAGAGGCCTCGACCCAATCCAGCGACTCATTGCAGCAAGCATTTGCAAATGAAGCTGTTTGGACAAGAGGGTTTACTGTGTGACACATCATGTCACACAGCAGCTTCCACTGAGATTTATTTTTGTTTGTTTATTTTTTTGTTTCCTTTTGGAGGGAAGGTTGCAAGAGCAGATGGTGAACATGGTGGGATGGGAAGGTAAGTGGGATTGGGGTGCATAATGTGAAATTCACAAAGAACCAATAAAAAGTTTTATTAAAAAAAAAAGTGAAATAGCAAAGACTCAAAGCTGAGAAAGTATGTGCCCCAAAGGGAACTACCAGTAATTTGCAGTGAACACTTCTGGTTTTGTTTTGGTTTTTTAATGTTCATTGGTGTTTGGCTTGCATGTCTGTGGGAGTCAGAATCACTGGAACTGGAGTTACACACGGCTGTGAGCTGCCAGGTGGGTGCTAGGAATTGAACCAGGGTCCTAGGGAAGAGCAGCCAATGCTTCCAACCGCTGAGCTATCTCTCCAGCCACTGAAGATTTCTTTTAAAGGGCACAATAGTACATATGTATAATCCCAGCATGGAGCCAGGAAGGTCATGAGACTACATGGCAAGACTATTTGTCAAAAGTAAAGGACAAAATAAAGTCTACACATGTGGGCGCTGGGATGTACTTCAGTGGTGAGCACTTGCCTAGCATGCAGATCCCTAAGGTTTGATTCCCCAGGACTGAAGGAAAAAAACAAAAACCTCTGAAAGAAGGCAGGTCATATATGCCAGAGTTCAAGTGTGGTGTGCCTTGGGTTCACTCTATGAGATCTTTCACAGATGTGGAAATGACACGGCATCTAGATGTTTCCACATACTAAAGGAGGTGATTTGTGAAGAAACTAGAGATTGCATGCCCAGCCACTGAAGACGGGTACAGTATGAGGAACTGCTGATATCCTATCTACTTCTGCATTACACTATGGATCTTGAATATCATCCAACAGGCCACATGTTGAAGGTTTGATCCCAACCCTAGGTGCTACCAGGAGGTAGCAGAACCTTTAGAAGGTAGGGTCTACCTAGAAGACTAGGGAAGACAGTCAGGGACAGGTCACTGAAGCAGATCAGGGCCCTTCTTGTCTCTGTTTCTCAGCCATGTGGTAAACAATCCCCATGTGCTCCCACCATGGTAAAGGTGTTACCAGATGCCCAAAGCAGCAGGGCCAAGTGACTGTGGGCTGACTCCTTTAGCTCTTGCCCCTATTAACCAGTCCTCATGCATCTTGTCACAGAGATGGGGTGCTGACTGGTATACACATGTGAGAGACTCCATGCTAACATTCTCCTAGTAGAAGCAGCTTCAGTTTCCTAACCTGCTTGAGCTGCAGGACGGTACCCAGAGTCTCCACCATGGGATTCTTCTTATAATGCTCCACCAAGTCTGTCAAAGAGTCAAAGCGCTCTCCTCCACCAACGTCGTATTTCAGTTCCTTTCAAAACAAAACAGATGGCGTTCATTACCTGAAGCCAGGTTACTGTCTTCCCACTCTCCTGAAGCCACTGTGTTTGTAGTGACACTTAACCTGTACACTTGTCTGTCTAGAGGGCATGATGAGAGCAAGACACACATGTATCATGTCCATGTCATCACAGTGGAGCCACACTGGGCCTTGAGAAGAAAGTCTTGTCATTGGTGACAACTGGGTGAGGCAAGAGACCCTCCCAATAAATCAAATAAGCCACCTCATTTACGTGTAGATCCAAAAAAAAAAAAAATCTAATACAGAGTGACAAGAGATCAAATGGTGGCTATGAAGGACTTGGGTACAGGAGAAGCCACTGGTGATACACAGACCCTCTCTGTATGGTGAACAGGCTCAGGAACCCCAATCCACAGCATGGTGACAACAGTGGACAGGGTTACATGCACTGGAGATTTGCCAAGAGAACATCTGAAGTGTTACAAGATGATGGGTACACTTAATGAGACTGACTGCAAAAAAAACTAAACACTATCGATTGAAGCCCAGAGACTGACTCTCAATGTCCATAGTACTGTGAAGGAAAAGAAGCAACAGCACTGATGAGGGGATGGGGGGGAGGGGGACTGGGAATACTTAGTGGTGGAACAAGTGCTAGGTTTCATCCCATCATCAAAAACAAGAAATGATACAAAAGTTAATTAAATCGAAATCAAATAAAAGCTCCACGGCTGCAAGACATTTCCCATCACCTCCAGACTCTTCAAAATGCCTAGCGTGGCATCAGCGCTCATGTAATGTCACATACACAGCTGAGAAGCTAGATGGGACAAGAAAGCCTGCACATGTTTAGACAGGATGCTGAAGACTGTTGACCCCAGGGGGTGTCCACAGACAGTGTCAACCGCCTGTGACACTTCTTAGGACAGCCAGTGTGCACTGAACATGTGCAGAGATGGACACAAAAGAAAAACTAGAAAGGAAAATTGGGCAAGGTGGTAGCACTAGGGAACCAAATGTAGGCAGAGATCTGTAGGTTCCAAGCCTGGCTAACCATAATAGTGAATTTCAGAACAGCCAGGGATACACAGAGAGACCCTATCTCAGAAAAACAAAAACAACTGGGCAGAGGCAGGCAGATCTCTGTCAATTACAGGCCAGTCTACAGAGTAAGCTCCAGGAGCGAGGGCTACACAAAGAAATCCTATCTCAAAAAAAAACAAAACAAAACAAAACAAAAACAAAAACAAAAAAAAAAGCCAACAAAAACATAACAACAACAAAAAAAAGAAAAAAAGAAAAAAAAAAACACAAAAGTAACAGTGCTTCAAAACGATGAGCCGCACACAGGAGAGTCAGCCATGAGCAAGTCAACAAAGATAAGACAATCTCAATGTGGGTGTCTAGTGTTCTCTCAGCAGAAGTCAGCTGTCCCTCCCGCCCCAAGATGCCCCTGAACCAGACCCACAGTCCCCTTGGTGCTCTACCTGACATCGGATCATGACGTGGGTCACTTTGGACTTGCCATCATTGCTCTCCCCTTTGTCATCACCGGTGCGGACGGAGAGAACAAAGTCTCCAGGGTGGCTCTGGCTCTCTCGGACAAGAAAGCTGCCATGCTTACCCTTCTCCGTTAGCAGTTTCTCTGCTTCTTTTCCAGACAAGTGACCATGGAACCACCTAAGTGTTTGAAAAGGAAACAAGCTGAGTTCAGCTGGGGTATGCAGTATTCTTTCATGTAACACACTGAGCCAGCACTCCTCAACACAGATTCCAAACAGACAACTTCCTCCAAGGGGCAGAGGGTCTGACTAGACAGATTCTGCATCCCAAACAGATAGGAAAAATGACAAAAATGTGTTAAAAATGACACTAAAGTTTGTTTTTCTTTTTTGAGACAATCTCACTGTGTGGCCCAGGTTGGTCATGAGCCATAGATCTTTCTGCCTCAGGTTCCTGAGTGCTGAGATCACAGGCAATACCACCACACCTAGCCTCCACTAAAATTTAAAAAGGAGCCTAGGATCACTTGAAAACAATATTTGCCAGATGATGGTGGTGCATGCTTTTAGTCCCAGCACTCGGGAGACAGAGGCAGATGGATCTTTGAGTTCAAGGCCAGCCTGGTCTATAGAGTAGAGTGAGTTCTAGGACAACCAGGGCTACACAGAGAAACTTTGTCTCAAAAAGAAGGAAGGAAGGAAGGAAGGAAGGAAGGAAGGAAGGAAGGAAGGAAGGAAGGAAGGAAGGAAGGAAGGAAGGAAGGAAGGAAGGAAGGAAGGAAGGAAGGAAGGAAGGAAGGAAGGAAGGCAGGCAGGCAGGCAGGCAGGCAGGCAGGCAGGCAGGCAGGCAGGCAGGCAATACCTTTAATGCTTTCTATTTTCTTTTAAACTTCCCATCTTTTAAATATGCACTTGACTTTTTTTAAGTGCCTAACCCTAAAAGAACCAACTATTGAAGTGCAGCCATTTAGTGAAAAGATAAGAAAGTTAGCAGCCTGGGCATGGTGGCCTATGCCTAGAATTCATGTGTGATTACTAGTTTTCTGTCAGCTTCACACAAGCTAGAATCACTTGGGAAGAGAGAGTCTCAATAGAGAAAATAACTCCTTCCAGATGGGAATGTGGTGCATTTCCTTAATAGAATATTGATGAGGGAGGGCACAGCCCACTGTTGGTCATGCCATCCTTTGGCTGGTGGTTCTGGGTGCTATAAGAAAGGAGGCTGAGCAAACCAAGAGGACAAGCCAGTAAACAGCATTCCCTCATGGCCTCTACATCAGTTTTGGCCTTCAGGTTCAACCTTGAGTTCCTGCCCTGACTTCCCTAAATGATGGACTATAAGCTGTAAAATGAAATAAGCCCTTTCTTCCCCCAAGCTGTTTTTAGCTGTGGTGTTTATCATAGTAATAGAAACCCTGACTGAGACATCATACACTGGAGAGTGGAGGCAAAAAATGAGGATTTAAAGGTCATCTTCAGCTATACAGCCATCAGGAGGCAAGCCCAGCCCGCAGGAGACCTGAACTCAAGCAACAAATAAACAAATTATGAAACAGACAAAACAATCATGAATCTGTGTTTGTTGACATTACATAAGAATGGATCTTTTTTTTTCTTTTTTGGTTTTTCGAGACAGGGTTTCTCTGTAGTTTTGGAGCCTGCCCTGGAACTAGCTCTTGTAGCCCAGGCTGGCCTCAAACTCACAAAGATCCACCTGCCTCTGCCTCCCGAGAGCTGCTGTCCAGTTCTTCAAGTACATTGGGTTATCAGTCAAGCTTTAATGGTATGTACATCTTGGAGCAAGGACAGAGATTTCCCTAAGAGTGTGAGCTCACACAAGCAGAGAGAGCAATGTCTACATGGAACCCAGAAGGCCGTACTTTAACTATTATGCTGGAGAGTATTGATGCAGGCTGTCTAGGACCATCAAATGGCAGATTCTGAGACAACCCAGCTCTTAAGTGACCACAGAAACATCATAACAGAGCCACAGGAATGCCATGGCTTTAGGTAAGAAAACAAGCACACCCTAGTGGGTAACGCTCATCCCCGAAGCCTTGACCAGCTACACACTGCTGGACAAGTACATTGCAGAACTAGAGGTGGAGACAGCATGAGGCAACAGCAGCCAGAGAAACAAACTACTAGCACATAATACAGAAGCTGGAGAAAGACAAGATATACAGACCCAGGATCTGCAGTCAGAAGCCAATGTCAGGGCAAATAAAGCAAGTACCAGCTCTCAACTCCAAACACACAGCAAGAGCTCCACAACATGACAGTTCCCAATGGACACAGTGGCAATTCTCTGCAGACAGTCACGCTTACGCATTTGGGAGATAGCATTATAAAGAGGATGAAAAGCCATGGGCTTAGCCTGACCTCTGTTGGTAATGCTGCTGAACAACTGGTCTGAGCCACCATGGAGCACTGCTGCTGTTTCAGCATCTCTATCATCGACTGTTGATAAACCTTACAATTCAAGTACATCTAAATCTACTCAGGGAAAATGCGAGAGCGCTGTGGAGTCTGTAAGGAGCACTGACAGCAGCTGCTGCAAGAAAAGGGCATTCCGCATAAACCGAAGCCATCATTCTTACTTTAATACACTGTAGCTCAGTGTGTAGAGAGCCTCCCTGGCATGGCCAAGCCTGTGCTCAATCTCCAGTACCACATAAGTCAGGCATGGTAAAGCATGTCTGTAGCCCTAGCACTCAGGAGGTAGAGGCAAGAGGATCAGGAATTCAGTCATCCTCAGCTACACAATGAGTTCCAGGTCACCTTGAACTATACTAGACCCTGTCACAAACAAAACAAAACAATGTTTTAACAGTACGAAGGACAGACACCAGCCTTTGAAGTCACACAGATCCTCTGTGTCCCATAAGGCAGGCACACAGCACACAGTCTTAGAGTACAGATTTGTGCTCACTAAGATGGCACTGACCTTTCAGAGGTTGGGTCTGCACAGTTCAGTGGGTACTTGAGCTCAATAACATCTCCATTCTTCTCTTTCAGCTGCCCATGATGCTCCATGTAATACTGGACCAGTTCAGCCAATGTGGCAAACTTCTCCCCACCATAGAGGTCATAGTAGTCCCCAGTGTTCTGAATCTTGATGTGGGTAACGGCTCCATTTCGTCTAAAATAGTCCATTGGGAGGAGAGATGTCAAAGAGCAATACTTGGAAAAAGAGACCTCACATTTGGTAGATTTTACCCAAACACTGGAACAAACCCAATGAAAAGATTTACCCTATCCCAGGAACTGAAGGTCAAGGAACCCCCTCAACTATGCCAACCCACAGCACTGTGTCTGCACCTGTGCCCTGTGTAGCTTCCATTTTGAACAAGTGGCCTATTTTATAGGATAGGTTAAATGAGAACAATTACTGTTCTTAACAATCAAGGGCACCTAATACACGAACTGGCTCTCTGGAGCCTATTTCCTATGGAGGGATACCTTGCTCGGCCTAGATACAGGGAGAAGGGCCTTTGTCCTGCGCCTCAATGTGATGGGACTGACTCTGTTGACTCCCTTTGGGAGGTCTTATCTTCTCTGCAGAGTGGATGGAAGGTGGGATGGGGAGAAGGTAGGGGGAGCAGGAGGAAGGGGGGGTGATATAGGAGGTCCTTCTGTATTTGTGTTGCTTTTATTGGTCATTAAAGAAAATGCCTTGGCCTAGTTGATAGGGCGGAACTCAGGTAGGCAGGGAAGACAGAACAGAATTTTGGGAAGAAGAACAAAGTCAGGCAGACGCCATGGCTCTCCTGCCTGAGACAGACGCTGGTTAGACTCATGCCGGTAAGCCACAGTCAAGTGGCGATGCACATTAATGGAGATGGGTTAATCAAGATGTGAGAGTTAGCCAATAAAAGGCTAGAGATAATGGGCCAGGCAGTGTTTAAATGAATACAGTTTCTATGTGATTATTTCAGGGGTTAAGCTAGCTGGGTGGCGGAACACAGCCCATTCCTCCTACTATAAGGGGGAACTGAGATTGATAATTTAAAATGAAAAGATTGTTTCAAAAAAGAAAAACACTGAAGGACACACAGCTAAGGTTAAAATCAAACACCCAGCCAGGCCGTGGTGGCACACGCCTTTAATCCCAGCAGAGACAGGCAGATTTCTTTGAGTTCAAGACAAGCCTGGTCTACTGGGCTAGTTCCAGGATAGTCAAAGATACAAACAGAAACCCTGTCTCAAAAAACCTAAATAAATATAAATATAAAACGCCCACTTACCCTGTAGTCCAGCAAATCTACTCCTAATCATTTTGCCCAAAGGCAATAAAAATGAATAGGTACCAAAAAGACTTTCAAAAGTAGACAAATAAAAGATAGAAACTCAAAATATTTATCAAAAAAATATACCAACAGCCAGACATCTGGAAGGCTGAGACAGGAAAACAATGGGCTACAGAGCAAGACAATGTTTAAAATAAGTAACAAATTTTAAAGGCTTGCTTTTAAATATATAAATATTGCCTAAAAAGTATGGTGATACACACTTATAAACCCAGCACCTGCAAGGCTGAGGCAGTAGGATCAGAAGTTTAAAGCCAACCTTTGATACATGAGACCATGTCTCAAAAACACAAAACAAAAAGATCCAACAACAACCAAAATCAACAGGGCCCAGTGAGATGGCTTAGTGGGTAAAGGGGGCTTGCTAGTAAAGTTTGATTCCCAGGACGCACATGGTAGAAGGGGAAAACCAACTCCCAAAGCTGTCCTCCGACCTATACATTCACTACATTCATGCCATGACACTTTCACATACACACACACACACACACACACACAAATAAATAAATGTTAAAAAAATAGTACATAAAAATCTAAATGTTAAAAAAGAAAAAACCAAATCTGAGGATGGTTAGCTGGCTCTGCAGGGAAAGCCTGACAACCTAAGCCTAGTCCATGGAACCACAGAAAAGGAGCTGCAGCAGGAGGAGGAGGGACTGAGGTGGGAGGAGGGGGGGACTGAGGCGGAAGGAGGGGACTGTGGCAGATGTACATCATACACATAACGAACAAGCATATCTAAAACCTGATGAATAATATAGAAGTCTAGCATGCACTGTCCAGTCGGCAATAACAACTCTTCATGTAAGATTCAGGCTGAGTTCCTACGGATCCCCCTTTCTTTCAAAAGGCTCAAGAATCTGGCGTGCTGTGAAGTGTGCCTGTAATCCTAGCAGGGAAGCAAGTAAATCTCTGTGAATTCAAGGCCAACCTGGTCTGTATATCAAGTTCCAGGCCAGCCAGTGCTATCTAGTGAGACCCTGTGTCATAAATAAAAATAAATGAATGGATAGATGGATGGATGAATTAATTAAATAAATGGGCACTTCCTAAGTCCCAGTGAGATTCTAAATAAATTCTCAAGGACATGAATTACTCTTCCCTATGTGGAAGTAATGTCTATAAAATCAAACTCATACACTTCAGTTTAAATAGCTAGAAAAGGCATATAGAAATTATCATCTAGGAAACTCCCCCATGCCTGCTCAATGGGACTGTGAGGATGCACCTCACTGTCCCCAAGGATTTAAAACAAACCAAAGCCTCCCAATGTCCATCACTAGAAGAATGGAGGAGTTAGTATGTTTGCATGGTTTGACCACCGAGTAGCCATTACAATGAACAGCTAGATGTCCCAGCATGCAGCTCAAACAGCACTTTAATGGATACATGAACTACAGAATGATTAACATGCTGGGAACACAGAGCTCATGAGGCAGTCAAGTATGCAACACATCAAGAGGATCCATGCAAACTCTGGACAATGGCTTCCTCTGGGAAAGAAGGATGGAAACGGGACAAGGCAGGGACTCAAGGGGACCACAACTTCCTCACAGAGGTTTTCATTCTTGACCAAGGAAAGTGATGTGAAGAACCTTAACACAGCCCGTTCCCTGACAAAATCCATAGCTGAAAAGAAAAACCAGGAGACAGGACTCAGCTCTGGAGGCTCCAGGTGTATATCTCTGCCCAAGGTATGCTTGGTTACCGCTGTAAGCAGAAGCCCAGTAACCTTTCCACTGCTTCCCAAGGCTGTGACTCTGGGTGACCACAAAAGGCATGGAAACTGGGGCTGGAGAGTTGGTTCATCGGTTAGGAGCACTGGCTGCTCTTCCAAGGAGTCAGGTTCAGTTCCCAGCACCCACATGGTGGCTCACAAGTATCTGTTACTCCAGTTCCAGGGGATCGGATACCCTCTTCTAGCCTCTGTGGGCACCAAGCACACACAGGGCACACACACATACATACAAGCAGAACATTCATACACATAAAATCATTAAAAAAAAAAAAAAAGCATAGGAGCAGGCCAATGCCCTGAGTGGCTCCACAGGGCAACAGGCCCTCAAGCTCTGCAGGAAGGGGTGAGGCAGTCAAATGTGGCCTCGCCCTTTCTCTGAAAACACCCTGAGTGTCTCCCTTTACCTTCCAACTTACCTAACGGACAGAGTGAAGTCTCCAGGGTTACTCTTACTGGGCCTTGCCAAAAAACTGCCATCGACTCCTCTGGTCAGCAGAAGATTCTCTGCCTCCACACCAGTGATGTTGGGGTGAAACCATCTAGAAGGAAGAAAAACAACATTGAGAACCAGACACCTCAGTAACACCCACACCACCACAGCTGAGAACCCTCACACCATCATGGTGGATGCCTGTGAGCAGCAGCTGACAGCTAGTTTCCAGGCCAGACCTTCCCCTTTCCTTAGTCCCTTTTCCTGGGTGGAACACTGAGATCCTGCCATCCTGCAGGTACTGGAGGAGGGAGAGGGGCACGGCCAGTAGGGCTGGGCTATTCACACAATGAACTCGTGGCTTTTTCTGCCCCAAAAGGTCATCCATACGATCAGGAAATTGTCTGCAAGCAATGAAACCAGACAAACACAAACTACCTCATGAATCAGACAGGTTCGGAGGCTCACAAGAGCCAGGTTCACACTGCTAAAGAACCAGAACACTCACAGGGTACCAGACTGCAAAGGGAGACACCCATGCAAACTTAACGTTTAATACACATGTAGAGACAAATATACAGACATAAGAGCAGAACAAGGTATTTCCAGAAATAAACATAAGCTGCCTCCCCATAGAATACTTGTTTTTTTTAAAAAAAAAAAAAAATCTAGCTGGGCGGTGGTGGCGCACGCCTTTAATCCCAGCACTTGGGAGGCAGAGGCAGGCGGATCTCTGTGAGTTCGAGACCAGCCTGGTCTACAGAGCTAGTTCCAGGACAGGCTCCAAAACCACAGAGAAACCCTGTCTCGAAAAAAAAAAAAAAAAAA